TATGGAAGTCTATGGCAGTCTATGGCAGTATATGGAAGTCTATGGCAGTATATGGAAGTCTATGGCAGACTATGGAAGTCTATGGTGGTCTATGGCAGACTATGGAAGTCTATGATGGTCTATGGCAGACTATGGAAGTCTATGGCTATGGTGGTCTATGGCAGACTATGGAAGTCTATGGCAGACTATGGAAGTCTATGGCAGACTATGGAAGTCTATGGCAGTCTATGGCAGTCTATGGAAGTCTATGGCAGTCTATGGTGGTCTATGGCAGTCTATGGCAGTATATGGAAGTCTATGGCAGACTATGGAAGTCTATGGTGGTCTATGGCAGACTATGGAAGTTTATGGCAGACTATGGAAGTCTATGGGGGTCTATGGCAGACTATGGAAGTTTATGGCAGACTATGGAAGTCTATGGCAGACTATGGAAGTCTATGGCAGACTATGGAAGTCTATGGTAGTCTATGGCAGACTATGGAAGTTTATGGCAGACTATGGAAGTCTATGGCAGACTATGGAAGTCTATGGCAGACTATGGAAGTTTATGGCAGACTATGGAAGTCTTTGACAGTCTATGACGGTCTATGGATGTGTATGGAAGTCTATGGCAGACTATGGAAGTCTATGGCAGACTATGGAAGTTTATGGCAGACTATGGAAGTCTATGGCAGACTATGGAAGTTTATGGCAGACTATGGAAGTCTATGGCAGTCTATGGAAGTCTATGGCAGACTATGGAAGTCTATGGCGGTCTATGGAAGTCTATGGCAGTCTATGGCAGTCTATGGAAGTCTATGGCAGTCTATGGTGGTCTATGGCAGTCTATGGCAGTATATGGAAGTCTATGGCAGACTATGGAAGTCTATGGTGGTCTATGGAAGTCTATGGTGGTCTATGGAAGTCTATGGCAGACTATGGAAGTCTATGGTGGTCTATGGCAGACTATGGAAGTTTATGGCAGACTATGGAAGTTTATGGCAGACTATGGAAGTCTATGGCAGACTATGGAAGTTTATGGCAGACTATGGAAGTCTTTGACAGTCTATGACGGTCTATGGATGTGTATGGAAGTCTATGGCAGACTATGGAAGTCTATGGCAGACTATGGAAGTTTATGGCAGACTATGGAAGTCTATGGCAGACTATGGAAGTTTATGGCAGACTATGGAAGTCTATGGCAGACTATGGAAGTTTATGGCAGACTATGGAAGTCTTTGACAGTCTATGACGGTCTATGGATGTGTATGGAAGTCTATGGCAGACTATGGAAGTCTATGGGGTTTGATTTACTGAAGGATTACACCAGGGGACGCAACCTGAACACTCCAGCTGTCGTGAAACTACAAATCCCATGGGGCATTGCAAGACTCTGAGAACCTCAGGCATGACTCCCAGAGGCAGAGGGATGATGGTATTCGTAGTTCAATCCCAGCTGATGTTGCCCACCTCTGGATCAGAGGCTGTTAATTCAGCGCAGTGAACGTTAGTGAATCCGGTGAAGCGTCTTCGCCTCGAATAGCCGATTGTTCTGGAACAAATCCCGTCTTCTCCCTTCCTCCGGCACACGATTGGATGTTCCGAGTTGTCACGGTTTCACCTTATTTACCAACATCCCCTTTGTTTGCTGCACATCCTCTTCTCCTTTAGTAAATAGCTCTCATGTGTCATTGCAGGGATTAGAGAGGTGGGTGTGCCGTGGGCGTGTCCATGGTGTTTTTAAGTTGCAGCAATCAGCCCCCCCCGTCTGTGGGGGGACTACAAGTCTCAGCATTGGGCGGGGGGGGGGAGCATGCTGGGACTTGTAGTTCCTCCACATGCCAAAGCACTGTATAACGATCGCTTTTCATTTCGCCGCTGAATTTTTGCACCAATTCGGTGAATGCCTGGCAGATACGCGGGGGGAGATCTCACCACACTGACCGTCTAGCCCAGGGGTAGGCAACCTCGGCTCTCCAGCTGTGCCGAAACTACAAATCCCATAAGTCATTGCAAGCCGCAGGCATGACTCCCAGAGGCAGAAGCATGATGGGATTTGTAGTTTCAGCACAGCTGGAGAGCCGAGGTTGCCTACCCCTGGGCTAGACCTAACTCAGCAATCTGCACATCAGCCGGCCTCCGGAGGAGCGACGACATTTCTCCCACACACACTACAATCTGATTGTACGATCTCCTTCACATCCACCAGCATGCACGTATCTGGACGTAATGCGATTGGTTGAGGGGCGGCCGGCCCTCCCGTTACCCAGCGTGGGATTGCCCATTTCAGACGTTGGGTTTCCCAATCCATCTGATTGACACACCGCCTAAAACTTTGCAACGTTTTTTGGGCCTCGTTTTGTAGTCGGGGGTTTCGGGTGGCTTCGGAAACTGGGAACTCTGGGACGGAGAGTCAGTATCCATCCATGCGTGAAATGTCAATTTTGGGTGGACTGGCCCTTTAAACCATTCATCCTTACATAGTCAGCTGTCTCTGTGCTGTCAGTTTTGGGTGGACTGGCCCTTTAAGAGCCAATTAACCCTTTCATTCTGAGCTATGTGCTACCCGTTTTGGTTGGACTGGCCCTTTAAGAGCCAATTAACCCTTTCATTCTGAGCTGTCTATTTGCTCTTAGATTTGGGTGGACTGGCCCTTTAACCCTTTCATTCTTAGCTGTCTATGTGCTGACAGTTTCGGGTGGACTGGCCCTTTAAGAGCCGATTAACCCCTTCATTCTTAGCTGTCTATGTGCTACCAGTTTTTGTTGGACTGGCCCTTTAAGAGCCAATTAACCCTTTCATTCTGAGCTGTCTATTTGCTCTTAGTTTTGGGTGGACTGGCCCTTTAAGAGCCAATTAACCCTTTCATTCTTAGCTGTCTATATGCTGTCAGTTTTGGGTGGCCTGGCCCTTTAAACTCCCCCCTTAATTTTGGGGATTAAGAAATGTATTTGCAACACGATCCCTTGCGATGCGATTTCAGACTTCCGCGGGGCGCAGCGAATGTGGCGACAGAAATGAATATAAAATGGAGGGCGGGACGCAGCTAAGACGGCCGGCGCGCCATAAAATTATATTTCGGGTTTTGGGTGGATGGTGATGGACCGGATCCTGAACCTCTCAGGGATTCCAGACCTAAAAAAGCCCAACAGCGGTGACGGCGGCTTCTCGTGTGGCCCCCGAAAATAATAGACAATGGAGTAAGATGGGGTACGTTTGTGTGGAAAGTAAATCGGTGAACCTTCTGCCCCCCCCCCAACAGCCAATCAGAGCTCAGACCTCCATCAGCTCTCAGCTCTGTGTGGAAGTTAATGAGCTGAGGGCTGGAAGTTGCTGAATGGGTCCCTGTTGTGGGGGGGAGTCATCCTTGGGGGCCCATTCACACTGAAATCACCCCAATTGGGACAACAAGCCAGTCCTGACAAAGGTTGGAACCCTTCCCACACAATGACCACACAAAAAAAGTTGTGATGGAGTTGCCCTTTAAGCTGAAGGATGTCGGCGACCTGTTCAGTGGCGCGGTGCTCTCGGCATATCAGAGCTCAGCAGTCACACAGGTGCGGGCGGTGAAGGGGTTAACTATTGTCAGCAAATGAGGAAGTGAAAGAAGGAAGTCGGCCCAGGAATTCACCTTCTCCACCCACCCTGCACACCTGGGCCCGCACCGACATCGCACCGCCGCTCCATGGATTGCCAGCTCTTGGGTCAACACGTCCCTAATCTTCCGAAGAGCGTTTCAGGTGTCCGTGGAACCCCCCGCCGTGTCCGTTCCATGATCCCTCCGCTTATGAAAGGGACACTCCACCCCCAAGTGAAGGATGACCTCAGGGGGACCCCGTCCCATATCGGGAGCCAATGGTGGAGGTCAGAGAACCCGCGACGGGTTTTTATTGTTCTGATGCTAGAAAGAGAACCGGAAATTCGAGAAACAGTAAATCGTTCCTTCCCCCGCCGGCCCGCCCCTCCCCCGACAGGCGCCAATTATATCCTAAAAATATACACAAAAACATAATAAATGTCACAAATAACCCCTTCTTATCTCCTCCACCAAAAATTGTACAATGTGTGTGTGTGTGTGGGGTGCAATGTACAATGTGTGTGTGTAGGGGTCACTGTACAATGTGTG